TGTGAGTAGTATACACATATACACAAATCTACGATCAGCAGCTTTCAGCAGATAGCGCGTACAGAGCTGTATAGTCGTATAGCTGCACTGTACAGACTATACGTCCTGACGAGGTCACCGAACAGACCCTATCTCAGTGGATTCACAGTGGAATCGCTGGCAAATTAAGCCTACAAATAAAAAAACTTCGCCGAGAAGCTATGACGTCCACCACAGTCCGCGACACGACCAGCCCTCTTACTCCTCCTCCCCACCCCAACGACCATCATTTCCCCCCTCTTCTACCAGCACTCAACCCTCTCTACTGTTTCAAGATACTCAATATTTGCTTGTTTGACGTATGCCACGATCGCCGAAAGAGAAAATACAAACCCACAACCCGGCCTACTCCTTTTCTTCAAACATCAACGGGCATTGCTGATCACCCTCAATTACCCGTCTACTCCAATCCCACAATCCCAGAAGCTCTACACCCTAGCTTTCGCATCTATGTCTACACAACCTATGCCTTCGCCTGGCCAATGGCCAGTAGATCCTCAAGAAGATGTTCCCATCAGCAAAGAACGTATCTGGATAGATGGTTGCTTCGATTTTAGCCATCATGGTGAGTGGTTGTGCATACCTCCTGTTTGCCCTCTGTCCGAAATGCTTGAAGCTAATAGGTTAGCGCAATTATAGGCCACGCGGGAGCTATGCTCCAGGCTCGCAGGCTTGGAAAGGAACTGTTTGTCGGTGTACATTCTGACGAGGATATTTTGGAGAACAAGGGTCCAACTGTCATGACACTTTCCGAGCGGTTCGCACACCACCCTCTGCTTTTTCAACCGTCATGGTAAACACATAACTGACCTTTGGTTGCATTGGAAAAGAGTGTCAGCAGTTGATGCATGTCGTTGGGCATCAAAATCAATTCCCAATGCACCATATGTCACGCAGTTACCCTGGATCTCTCATTATGGTTGTTACTACGTGGTGCATGGAGATGACATCACTTCCGATAGTAACGGGGATGACTGCTACAGATTTGTCAAAGCTGCTGGGCGTTTTCTGGTTGTGAAGCGTACCCCTGGCATTTCTACAACGGATCTCGTCGGCAGGATGCTGCTTTGCACTCGTACCCATTTTATCAAGTCTCTCCCTGCCTTTTTAAGGGGGGAAGAAGGCTCTGGGAGTGACGTAGAGCGGGAGCAGGTTGCGAATGAATCTTTCCAGAGAATTAAAGACTATGCAACTGATGAAACTGGTTTGCAACCGGGGCCCGATGTCTGGACCTGGGAAGCCTCAGCGCCAGCAAAACTCGAGCATAGTAGAACGGAACAAGGTAGTTTCCAGCATCTCGTTGAAGGCAAAGGACCAAAACCAGGCCAGCGAATATCCTATGTTGATGGTGGTTTTGATTTATTCTCTTCCGGTCATATCGAGTTCCTCCGCCGTGTCCTCGCAATTGAAGCTGAGGACGCAACTCGTCGTGGTTGGTACCTTCAGGACAGTATCGAGAAAAGAATAAAAGAATGTGGAGAAGATTACGGCCCGGCTTATATTGTGGCTGGTGTCCATGACGACGAAGTCATCAATCACTGGAAGGGACTGAATTACCCGATCATGAATATTTTCGAGCGAGGACTTTGTGTGCTCCAATGCCGAGTATGTGTATATCACCCTGTCTGATTGTGTATGGGAGGAAACGACATGCAAAAAAGTAGCAGCAGCTAACATTGTTCATGAGTAGTATGTCCATGCCGTTATATTCAGCGCCCCATTCACGCCTAACATTGCCTACCTCAGAGCTCTTCCATTTGGCATGCCTGATGCGGTCTACCACGGCCCAACCACATTTATACCCCTCACATATGATCCATATATCGTTCCATCGAAGCTAGGCATTTTCAGACAAGTGGATTCTCACCCTTTCCAGCATGTAAACGCTGGTGAGATTGTGCAGCGGATCTTGAAGAGCCGGGAGGCATTTGAGGAGAGACAACGTGCTAAGCTACTGAAGGCGGCCATTGAAGCAGATTTTAAGGCGAAGGAACAGCTTGGAAAGTAGCGGCAACAGAAGAATGAGGAGGTAGGGGAACTGAGGCAATGTCCGCTACCGCTAGGGCGGAGAACCAAAGGCTGCCCACGCTGCACCTCGTCGAACGGAATCAAAACACGCATATGAAACTCTTCTCGGGACAACAAGGAGGTTTTCTCCATATATAAAACGGCATTAAGCTTCATCACTGAAGGAAAGAAAATTTTCCGACCTAGATATTACACTTCTGGAAAAAAAAGAATTTAAATAACTACTGTTATAAGATGCAACATGATATTTAGATACTGATCAATGGGTATTTATGCATTTGCCATTTCGAGTGTTGAAAAAATATAGGGGACAAAGCATCGAAAGAAAATATGTGAACAGCATGGAGACAGCGCTGGCAACAGTATTGGGTAATAAAGGTAATATCACAACTCATAGAGATATAAAATCAAGGACTTTGTTAAATCTTCCTTCTTTTTTCCACAGATTATCGTGCGTTCCGTCGTCCAGAAGTTAAGATTATAGATTCGCAATCAAGTTTCTAGCGAGTTGGCAGATTTCCTCCCTCCGCCTCCGTTTGTCACCTCGCGATTTCTACAATGAGACAAAAGGAATTAATTCATTGCTTAGCGTTCGACTGTCCAAATGCAAGGTGAAAAAGAAGCTGATAAAAATAGAAGGGGGATAGGATATACTTTTTCCTGAACGGTAACCTGGTTCTTCATCTCCCTCGCGAGATAGGAAATATAGTCATTCCATTTTCGCTCATCTGCCAGCGTAGTTAGCTCTACTGCATGTTGCTTCCCGAATGCACTTGTCGCGCTGGCGAGTCTCTTCTTAAACGTCATTGAACCAATGGCCTCTTTCGTAACATGTGGCAGAGTCACGGATTCAGCCCCGAGCATCTCAACCGCCAAACAGGCGATTTTCTGCTGGGTTTTGTTCCATGCTTTCCAATGGCTCTTTAGAGCTTTTTCGGTAGGGTTTAATAAACTGCGAGCATTGACGAGATGGGCTGTATCTTTGTTGTCAGGTGGAGAAGCTATCCTGTCCAACGATTCTGGCTCCAGCGGGGAGAAGATAACAGCACGCATGACCACGGGAAAGTTCTACACTCTTGTTGTGCTTTGTAACAGTTTGTGTTAGCTGC